GTGCCCCTGTGCCCGGCCTCTCCCCTCCCAGGTGCCCCTGTGCCCGGCCTCTCCCCTCCCAGGTGCCCCTGTGCCCGGCCTCTCCCCTCCCAGATGCCCCTGTAACTGCACGGCCTCTCCCCTCCCAGGTGTCACAGCCTGGTTCTCTAGTTTCCATACAAAATTTTGGACTTTGTTTTTTCTGAGGAAGAGCCCCTGAGATTTTCACTCTGTGATCCCAGCAGGTTCATAAGCCTTTGTGTCTCTGCGACTCCATCCAAACCAGGTTCATGTTTGACAGAAGCTTTGCTCTCACCTTCACGTGGTCCTTGTCATCTTGTGGGTTTAGAATAATTTCACAGGACATCAGAGTCCTTTCCTCTTTACGGGGCCACATACAGAGGGCACCTGGTCTGACTCGGTGTTAACGACACTGGAGGACTCGCTGCACTGGATTCTCAGTCACCGGGTGTCGGGTTTGTTGTTTCCGGCTTCTGAGTCGGCTCTGTCTTTCAGGGCAGGAAGATAAGCTCGTGCAAGAATCACAAGTGAGAGCCGGCAAGCGATGCCGGGAGCCCCTGGCCGCAGGGGAGGCGAACGGGGAGCCGCAGGCAAAGCATGTGAAGCAGGCCGGGGAGGCAGCCCCTCCGGTGGGCAGGGACACGTTCTCTTACATGGGTGTGTCTTTCTTGTTTGTTTTTGTTTAATATGTTTGTATCGGTTTCGGAGAGGAAGGGGGAGGGGAAGAGAGATGGAAACATCAATGATGAGAGAGAATCCTTGATCAGCTGCCTCCTGCAGGCCCCGCACTGGGGATCAAGCCTGCAACCTGGGCACCTGCCCTTGACCGGAATTGAACCCGGGACCCTTGAGTCCCCAGGCCGACGCTCTCTCCACTGAGCCAAACAGGTCAGGGCAGTTTTTTTCATTTTTAATGTATAATGAAACTATATGTATAAACACTCTTCCCCCTTTTGAATGGGGGAAGTTGGAGCTGATGTGTAACGTCCTCATTCTTAGCCGAAAGGGCATTTAATGTGGAAACCTCGAGCTCCCCCGTAGTAAACCTGTGGGTGGATTTCGTTTTCCCGGGAGGCGGGCACTCACTGAGCTTCCATCTCCAGGCGAGTACGTCGTCGTCTACACGGACGGCTGCTGCAGCAGCAATGGGCGCCGGCGGGCGCGCGCGGGCACTCACTGATCGTCCAGCGCCAGGAGAGTACGT